CTCCTCCTCCTCCTCACCTCCTCCTCCTCCTCCTCCTCCTCCTCTCCTCCTCCTGGTACGTGTCGTGTGCCCAGGTCGCCCCACTTCGCACATCGCACCCCGCCATGCGCGACGTCGTGTGCCCAGGTCGCCCCACTTCGCACATCGCGCCCCGCCATGCGCGACGCGCGGTGATCTTCGCGGCCTCGCGCTGCCGCACCAGAGCAGGGCGGCTCTCCAGCATTCTCTGGCCCAAGCAGCGATGCGCGAAGCGCCGCTATCTTCGCGAACCCTCGGGTCGTCGTCGTCGTCGTCGTCGTCGTCGTCGTCTTCGTCGTCGTCGTCGTCGTCGTCGTCTCGTCATCGTCGTCGTCTCGTCGTCTCGTCGTCGTCGGCGTCGTCATCGTCGTCGGCGATGCGGTTGTCGTCGGCGTCGTCGTCGTCGTCGGCGGCGGCAGCGTCGGCGGTGTCGGCGTCTGCGTCTGCGTCGGCGTCGTCGTCTCGTCGTCGTCGGCGACGGCGGTGTCGTCGTCGTTGCGGTCGTCGTCGTCATCGTCGCCGTCGTCGTCGTCTCGTCGTGGTCGTCGGCGTCGTCGTCGTTGCGGTCGTCGTCGTCGTCGTCGGCGTCGTCGGCGTCGGCGTCGGCGTCGGCGTCGGCGTCGTCGTCGTCGTCGTCGTCGTCGTCGTCAGCGCTGTCGTCGTCGGCGTCGGCGTCGTCGACCGTCGACCGTCGACCGTCGTCGTCGTCGTCGTCGGCGTCGTCGTCGTCGCGTCGTCGACCGTCGTCGTCGTCGTCGTCGTCGGCGTCGTCATCTTCGTCGTTTCGTCGTTGTCGTCGGTGTCGTCATCGTCGTCGTCGTGGCGGTCGTCGTCGTCGTCGGCGTCGTCGGCGTCGTCGTCGGCGTCGTCGTCGTCGGGTCGTCGTCGTCGTCATCGGCGTCGCCGTCGTCATCGTCGTCGTCGTCCTCGTCGTCTCGTCGTGGTCGTCGGCGTCGTCATCGTCGTCGTCGATGCGGTCGTCGTCGGCGTCGTCGTCGCCGTCGTCGGCGTCGGCGTCGTCGTCGTCGGCGTCGTCGTCGACCGTCGCAATCGTCGTCGTCGTCTCGTCGACCGTCGTCGTCGTCGTCGTCATCGTCGTCGTCCTTCTTCGACGTCGTCGTCGTCGTCGTCTTCGTCGGCGTCGTGGTCGTCGGGTCGTCGTCGTCGTCGTCGGCGTCGCCGTCGTCATCGTTGTCGTCGTCGTCTCGTCGTGGTCGTCGGCGTCGTCATCGTCGTCGTCGATGCGGTCGTCGTCGGCGTCGTCGTCGTCGGCGTCGGCGTCGTCGACGTCGACGGCGGCGTCGGAGTCGACCGTCGTCATCGTCGTCGTCGTCTCGTCGACCGTCGTCGTCGTCGTCGTCGTCGTCGTCGTCGTCGTCGGCGGCGTCGTAGTCGTCGTCGTCGTCGACCGTCGTCCTCCTTCGTCGTCTTCGTCGGCATCGTCGACCGTCGTCGTCGTCGTCGTCGGCTTCGCCGAAGTCATCGTCGTCGTCTCGGAGTGGTCGTCGGCGTCGTCATCGTCGTCGTCGATGCGGTCGTCGTCGGCGTCGTCGTCGTCGTTGTCGGCGTCGTCGTCGGCGTCGTCGTCGACCGTCGTCATCGTCGGCGTCGTCGTCGTCTCGTCAACCGTCGTCGTCGTCCTTCTTCGTGGTCGTCGTCGTCGGGGTCGTCGTCGTCGGCGTCGTCGTCGTCGGCGTCGCCGTCGTCATCGTCGTCGTCTCGTCGTGGTCGTCGGCGTCGTCATCGTCGTCGTCAATGCGGTCGTCGTCGGCGTCGTCGTCGTCGGCGTCAGCGTCGTCGGCGTCGGCGTCGTCATCGACCGTCGTCATCCTCGTCGTCGTCGTCTCGTCGACCGTCGTCGTCGTCGTCTTTCGTCGTCGTCGTCATCGTCGTCGTCGTCGGCGTCGTCGGCGTCGCCGTCGTCATCGTCGTCGTCGTCTCGTCGTGGTCGTCGGCGTCGTCGTCGTCGTCGATGCGGTAGTCGTCGGCGTCGTCGTCGGCGTCGACGTCGTCGGCGTCGGCGTCGTCGTCGACCGTCGTCATCGTCGTCGTCGTCGTCTCGTCGACTGTCGTCGTCGTCCTTCTTCGTCGTCGTCGTCGGCGTCGTCGTCGTCGGCGTCGTCGACCGTCGACCGTCGTCGTCGTCGTCGTCGTCATCTCGTCGTCGTCGTCGTCGACGTCGTCGACCGTCGACCGTCGTCGTCGTCGTCGCCGTCGTCGGCGGCGTCGTCATCGTCGTCGTCGTCGTGGTCGTCGTCGTCGGCGTCGTCGGTCTCGTCGTCGTCGTCGGCCTCGTCATCGTCGTCGTCTTTGCGGTCGTCGTCGTCATCGTCGTGCTCGTCGTCGACTCGTCATGGTCGTCGGCGTCGTCATCGTCGTCGTCGTTGCGGTCGTCGTCGTCGTCGTCGTTGTCGTCGTCGGCGTCGGCGTCGTCGGCGTCGGCGTCGGCGTCGGCGTCGGCGTCGGCGTCGTCGTCGTCGTCGTCAACCGTCGACCGTCGTCATCGTCGTGGTCGTCGTCGCCGTCGTCGTCGTCGACCGTCGTCGTCGTCGTCGTCGTCGTCGTCGTCGTCGTCACCTCGTCGTCGTCGTCGTCGGCGTCGTCTCGTCGTCGTCGTCGGCGTCGTCATCGTCGTCGTCGTTGCGGTCGTCGTCGTCGCCGTCGTCGTCTCGTCGTCGTCGTATTCGTCGTCGTTGTCGTCGTCGTCGGCGTCGTCGGTCTCGTCGTCGTCGGCCTCGTCATCGTCGTCGTCGTCGCGGTCGTCGTCGTCATCGGCGTCGTCGTCGTCGTCGGCGTCGTCGGCGTCGGCGTCGTCGTCGACCGTCGTCGTCGTCGTCGTCTCGTCGACCGTCGTCGTCGTCGTCGCCGTCGTCGGCGGCGTCGTCGTCGTCGTCGTCGTCGTCGGCGTCGACCGTCGACCGTCGACCGTCGACCGTCGTCGTCGTCGTCGTCGTCGGCGTCGGCGTCGTCGTCGTCGTCGTCGTCGTCTCGTCGACCGTCGTCGTCGTCGTCGCCGTCGTCGGCGGCGTCGTCGTCGTCGGCGTCGGCGTCGGCGTCGTCGGCGTCGTCGTCGACCGTCGTCGTCGTCGTCGTCGTCGTCGTCGTCGTCGTCGTCGTCGTCGTCGTCGTCGTCGTCGTCGTCGTCGACCGTCGTCGTCGTCGTCGTCCTTCTCGGCAGGCCCCCGCAGCCTCGGCAGGGCCCCCGCCTCCGGCCCAGAGGGCTCCTCCAGCCACTCCCACAGCGCCGGCCCGGCGCGCTCCTCTGGGGGCGGCGAGAGCCGCACGAGGCCTGCAGCGCCCCTGGCCACGCCAGGGGCAGGGCTGGGCCTGAGCTCAGCAGGTCCAGGCTTCGCCAGGGAGGAGGGAGGAGGAGGGGGAGGAGGAGGAGGAGGGAGGAGGGAGGGGGGAGGAGGAGGGAGGAGGGAGGGGGGAGGAGGGAGGAGGGAGGAGGGAGGAGGGAGGAGGAGGGAGGGTTCGCCAGGGAGGAGGGAGGAGGGAGGAGGAGGAGGCGGCGGCGGAGGAGGAGGTCCTTCCAGAACATCCGAAGCCGTTCCGAAACCCTCCGAAAACCCTACTGGAAGGGTTCCGGGAATCTTCTCGGAGGGTTTGGGGGGATTTTTGGAAGGCTTTTCGTCGTTTGGGGGGGCGAACCAGTCCCCAGCGAGCCAAGGCTTTCTGAACCTCAACGGTGCTTCCCGTTTCTGCTTTGCTGTCGTTTTCCCTCGATTCGTCAGCGTCCCGCCCTTGCTTCAACTCGCAACCGAGACGAAAATCTGTCCGGGCCGAGCCCTGGCCCATGGGGTCGGGTCCCCTTCGGGGCCCGTTCTCAGCGCCCGAGCCCGTCCGGCCGCCGAGCGGGCAGCCGAACGCGCTCGGCTCCGACGCGGTCGAGGGTATCGAGTCGAGCCCGCTTGGCTGCCGACTGGGCTCGGCCCTGGGCCCAGCCGGCGGCCGAGTGGGCTCAGACGACGCGGTCGAGGGAGTCGAGCCCACTCGGCGGCTGCCGAGTGGGCTCGGCCTTGAGCCCAGCCGGCGGCCGATCGAGTGGGCTCGGGGCGCCGCAGGGGCTCTCCGCAGGGCACCCCCGGAGCCATCCGGCGGCGCTGTGCGTGCGCCCCCCCCGCGGGCTCGGCCCAGGGAGGCTCAGGTCGGGCATGTCCCCCTGCACAGGCTGATTCTGGACGAGGAATGCACACCAGAACAAAAGCCAGAAAAAATGCCCCAGACGTAGGCAACGAAGCAACACCCCAGCAATCGTCCCCTGACTGTTTTGTTGAGTGGCTCTTGAACTTAATTCTACATCCCCATCGTAGTCTGTTAGCCGCCTTTCCCCCTCCGAACATAAACATTGTTGGGAAGTATTCCTCCTGCAGAGGGACAGGCCCGACTTCAAATGGAGGCGTCAGCCTGCGCCGAGCCGCTGGCCCCGCGCGCTCTGGGCCTGGCCGGGGGCGGCGGCCGCGTGCGCCCGGAGGTCCGCCGTGCACGGCGAGGGCACGGCACGACCTCCTCCTCCTCCTCCTCCTCCTCTCCTCCTCCTCCTCCTCCTCCTCCTCCTCCTCCTCCTCCCTCCTCCTCCTCTCCTCCCCCTCCCTCCTCCTCCTCCCTCCTCCTCCTCCTCCTCCTCCTCCTCCTCCTCCTCCTCCTCCTCCTCCTCCTCCCCCCCCCCCTCCTCCCTCCCCTCCCTCCCCTCCTCCCTCCTCCTCCTCCTCCTCCTCCCTCCCCCTCCTCCCTCCTCCCTCCTCCCTCCTCCCTCCTCCTCCTCCTCCTCCTCCTCGCTTCGTTGGGTGAGGACTCCCCGGGAGGCGGCGGTCGTGTGCACCCAGAGGTCCGCCGTGCACGGCGAGGGCATTGCACAAGGATGCACTGGGTGAGGAGTCCCAGAGATCCAACAACCAATCAATCAATAACGCCGTGTCTGCACGACACATCGGCTGAAGTCCCAGAGATCCAACGTGTGGACAAAAATCAGGACGGGGGTC